TTGCCTCGGTGATGGAATTTAAAATCAATCATATTTTATATCAGACAAAAGCAGTAAAATAAATGTTCTTATATTATAAGTATGGCTATACTATTTTATTATTATTAATGTTGTTTATTTTATTCCATAACATAATAATATTATATTACGTTTAATCCTATTGTGTGGTAAAACTGAACAACCGAAAGGATTATCTTAAATCGTAATAATAGTTTTTATATTATTATTGTATTTACATACAAGTGTAGGAAAACATTATCCTTGTATAACATAATATTTATAATTCGTTACATACGTGCTTCATAAAAAAAAATCGAGATCCAGTTAAATATGTGTCTAAATATTTTGTACCAATAATATTATATATGATATACTGTCATAGGTCACCAGTGTACTAGCTGGTAAAAATATAAGTTTGATAATTATTTTTATAATCATAATAATATGTGTATCTACAGGAATTTTTTTTAAAATAACATGGCGTGTATTTTTCTAAGTAAAAAGGTTGTATTAGAGTTCCTAATAGAGGAATGATTAGAATTGGTTGGAACCAAAATCGACTATATAAAATGTGGTAATTAGCTTTGGGGTTAATCAACATCATTATTTATCTCTTTTTAATGCTTTAAGAATAACAAATAATAATCAAACACRATTGTCTATACTTTTATACTTTATATTCTAATGAAGTGTTTTTGGTAATTATTAACGTTGTTGGATACAACTATACAATGTACATACATTGTTCGATCCAATAATTGTATGGAAACTATGAAATTTGAAAATATTACTAAAACAATATTAATAGCATTATACAATCGTTTATGGCAATTTTAAACGTAAGTGTAATTGTCGAAGTTACACAAATATTAAATTAGGTACAAAATAATATGTGTGTAGCCTGCAAATTATTTTATCGCGCATACGGTATTAATAATAATGCAAATTATTTTATCATAAAACAATAGTATTAGTATAATGTAATATACTAAATTGCTTTAAGCTCAATGGCCCATGCTGTCGAGGGTACCTATATATACAATTAAAAAAAAAAAATGTACTAAAGCTTAAATCGAATATTTAGCCATATTCAAAATTGTAACTTTTTTTTATATATAATAGGTATTGGAAATTGAGCAGTTATGTATTTAATTTGTAAATAAAGGTTCTTACTTAATATTAATATCAAAAATATTTATTTTTATAATTAACTATCAGTTTGCTTTTACATAAGCCCTGTTTTTTAATTTTATTATTTATCAATTGTACAAATTAATTACGGTATATTATTAGGTACACATATTTTTATTTAGGCAGGTAATATTCTAAAATGCACATCATAGTTTATATCAAAGCTATGGAAAGACTTAAAAATTATTCATGTCCTGGTGTTTTGAGATAACACTACATCATTAAATTATAAACATGAATAGTAAATTCCACGTACTCTCAATTTGTTATTTCCGCAGTTATACCTTATATTATAATGTAATAGTAATATAATATTATCTTATACAATGAAAAAAAAATATTACAGAATTTGTGATTCAATATCAGGAAGTAGTGTAAATTTCTCTAATTTTGAAATTTGTTGATGTTTTTCAAGGCTCATTTGAGACAATATGTTAACCAATGCTCTGTTGTTTTAGTATATTTTTAAGTACATAATATTCATATTTTATTTTGAAACAATCATTTTATAGATAGCAGTTTTTGATTTGGTATAGGTATCAATATTTTAAACAAGAACTTTTATAATATAAAATGGAAATATATACTTTTTTGAAATTTATAATCAAATTTTTGTTTGTCAACTGCACAATAACAATGTTATGTTTTTATACAACAATTCGTTTTGCTTTGTGGTTGGACATATTTTGTGAAATATGTCATTTAAAGTTGAGAAACAATTTAAGGATTATTCTGTAGTTTTTGTTCCTTGATTTATAAGTAATAAATTGTACCTGTATACTCCATCATATTATAGTATACATTTTAATAATTTAAAATTTATGTCAAACTGACTGTAACTAAATATAGAATACAAACAATTTACTGAATTAAAAAATGCATACTTCATAATAATTTTTATATATTTTAGTTTATTACATAATATACAATTTATAATTAGTATTTACTTTATATGTTTAGTTGTAACTTGTGTAGTTACTTAATGTGTTTAGTTGTAACTTGTGTAGTTACTTAATATGTAATTAACTATGATAAAATCATTCATATACAATATACATACTATTAATAGGTGAAAAAAATACAAATATTAATATTCGATCAGCTTGACTTAATGACTTATTCATTAAATTATTCTCAACGAAACTGTTCATGTTTTGTTTTTTGAACCATGATTTGAAAAATCATCGAAATAAAATAAACAGCTTACTGTTGTATTATTAAATATAGCAATTGTTGTTTATATAAGCTTCAATTATACATTTAGATAAATATGTATTGAATCAAATATTTTCTGTATTCGTAGTTGTTACTACKTCTTTATTGTATTATTATTTTAATTTTTTTGTCATTATTATTATTATTATAAGAAATAGAAGAAATTACAATTTTCATGTTTTCCCTTTTCTTCCTATAGAATGGCATAATTATATTTCTTTATTATTTAATATTATAATACTTATAATACTTATAGTTATAGAATAGTATACATATATAATTATATATTATTATATTTAAACAAGAATAAATTTACATCAAAGTGAATATCTCATTATATTTCCTTCAAGCTGATGTTTTTATCTTTATTGAATTTTTTTATGCATGTGAAAACATTTAAACTTCATGGTTTGAATTTGAGTTTAAAAATTAAATTGCTTTGATTTAGTTTTAAAAGGACTCATGTTCTCAGAGGATTAAAAATTATTTTATGCTTGAACGAACTGAAGAAGCATCCAAATTTATTTTTAATATTTTTTATTTTCACGTGAACTATTTTTTCTTGGGGAAATTTTGAACTTTGAATGGTTTTTAATGTTTTCTGATAGGTGCCTGTAAAAATATAAGAATATAACCAATTTAAAGTGTTTTTAACCTAAACTTTTACAATAATTACAAATGTTTAAGCTAAGGAATAATAATAACGTATAAATGATTTACAAAAACCCTAGGTATAAACAAAACTAAGCTTTATAAAGTTGTTATGCATAAATAATAATAAATAATATATTTATTAAGGGGAAAGTCAATGCGGGAAGGCGCTGGTTAAAATACCAAACCCCCCGGCTACGAAGCTGATGGTAGAGCTCATATATTTTATTGTATATCTTTCTCTCGAGTTATCGATTATACAACTAGTACACTAAAAAAATATATCAAAACCATRATTTATATATAGATTTTAAATGTTGCATAAATACTTTATAAATTGTCTTTTATTTATTCAWAAAATATGCATACTATGTATTGATACGCGATAAGCGACTTCTTTTCGATGCCGTTACCGATAAAACCACCATTAGTATCTTTTAAACCAATATCGACAACGAGAGGACAGCATATCTGATTATAGAGGAAACGTTGAAATATATTAGTTACAACCTTACAGCATGTTTGACATATTTCCAGTTTGTAACGAGCGGTGAAAAATGTATAATGCATGAAAAAAATAATTTAAGATAACACCGTTAAACTTAGAAGTCGTTATTTATTTTTATTCATTTGTTGGAATATAGGCGCCAAACTGCGGCAGTTGATATTGCGATAAATATGTATTATAATACAGKTCAAAACTTAAAGAAAGCAATAATTATCGAAGAAGTATAAAATGGTAAATTGAAAAAAAATAGGTCCATTATTACCGTTATTAGTTTATGCTATATACAATRCATTACAATATATTACAATACCGAAATCAATATCAAGAAAATATGTTTTATTTTATTACGTCAATGATATTATATATACAACTACTAGTAATATATATGAACGTATTTTACTAATTAGGTTAGGTGGTGCCATAATATAACTATGTTTGGTCTACATAAAATTAACACATTTCTTTATATTCATAAAAAAAAATAGCTCATTATGTCGCTTATTTAATAACTTAAGTAACCCTGCAATGGCCTATGTCACTGAAAGTATATTTCGTGTAAATAAAAAAAATATAACTTAGAATAAAAAGCAGTGGGGGCGGGGGTAGAAACTAAAACAAAATGTTGTATTTTRTCAAAATATCCTAAAGCTCTTTWAAAAAAAAAAAYAAAGAATAAAATAAAATGGCAACCATGTTTGTTGATAATAATATCATTGTTAAATTTAAAAACTATTACTAAAAAAAACTTATATGACCATGATTTATTTATTTATTTATTTACGACAAACTATTGTCATATATAGACATTTAGAATACCTATTTATAAGGATTACTTAAATTTATATTCAATGGAGTCCTCTTCACTCTGTTTCTTATGTCTACTTTGTTATCTTTTATCACTTAAGCGTATTGTTCAATATTGTAACAGATGGTGAAATATAAAATTTTGTTAAAAAAAAAAAAAAAATTAAAATTAAAATTGATATTTTATTCTAAAGCAACTTTTTCTTTATTTTATTTTATGTCACATGAAATTAATAATTCAACAAAATCAATTATTTAGTTTTTATGAATTTTAATTAAAATAAGTAATAATTACTTATGGCTATAAAATATTGAATTAAACGAATGCTAGCATAGTTGGATTATAATAAATTATTACCTAATAATAATAAACCTAAATTATTGTTTAGCGTTAAAGTCTCTATTACTTAAAAATATTGAAGAAGAAAAATTAGAAAAATTATGCGTTTAAATTTAAGGTCTGTTATACATTTTTGAAATGTTCAAAATGATTGATGACTTCCAAAATGTTTTTGAATTATAGATTAAATAATATTTAATAGCTAGTAAAAAAATTATATAACTATATAAGTTGTTTTAATTTTGTATAAATGTCTTACAAACCTTATTTCCTTAACCAACCCCCTAACACGTGGTTCGAGAGAGCAAGCATGCTTGTCATACTGCTGAATTGTGTTACTTTGGGCATGTATCAACCGTGCGTGGACGATCAATGCATATCGAGAAGATGTAGAATTCTACAAGTAATGGTTTTTTTTTTTTTTTTATCATATTATATTTTTATTGTATTGTGGACATGACGTAGCTCTAATGCGCTATAATAACTGTTTACAGGTGTTCGACGACTTCATATTCGCATTCTTTTCGCTAGAAATGATCGTGAAAATGATCGCCATGGGAGCGTACGGTCCCTGTACATACCTCGCAGACTCCTGGAACAGATTAGATTTTTTCATCGTGATCGCAGGGTATGTAACGATATATTAATACGTTAATAAACTGTTCTAGTTTATTTTTATTTCATTYCATATATCACAATATATTATGTACGCTCGTTATTAATGGGTTAGCCTAAGTATGCACATTTTAAAATGCATGTTGATCACGCGGATTAAGCGTGGTTTCACTATTTACCATATAATATGTGTTGGATTTTTTTTTTTTTATTAAAATTTTTATTCTCTCGCTTTTCAGTGCTTTGGAGTACTGTTTAAACGTAGAGAACATAAATTTCTCTGCTATACGAACAATAAGGGTGCTGAGGCCGCTTCGAGCCATCAACAGAATTCCAAGTGAGTAAAATTTAGCTTTCACATTAAAGTGCACAAGTGTGTGTACGCGTGTATGCATGAATCATGGCCAACGATCTAATACAATAAATTATTATATGGATAATAATAAATATATATTATATTACACGGACACATTTATAAATAATAAATATATAATAATATATATTATATTATATGTACGATAAAGAGTAGGTACTTTCGCTTATAGAAAAATATGATTTAAATGAATTTAAAATATTATTATTATTATTGTCGTAAAAATCCCTTTTTGACGGATTCCGTTGCCATAGCATCGACCACATAACGCGTTTTGTGCAATAAAAATATATTTGGATTATCCAAACTCAATATCGGAAGTTGACTATAAAAGTAATCTATACGGTGGCATGTTTTATGAGTACTGAAAATTAATCAAGCAAGAAGACAAACCGTCGTTCGGTTGCGACGTAAAAATAAAAAAATAATTTCACGTCAGCCATTTAGTTCACAAAATATATAAATTACCTTTTCAATTTTTGATAGAATCTTAGATTTGAAAATATTTACGATACTATGGTTTATTATATAATATGTATATACAAAATATATCATATCAAAATTTATAAATAAATGTGTGTAGAACGATTGATGACGTTACAAAGTTATAGTTATCTGAAATATTCAAGCATGTACTTCATATATCAATATAAAGGTACAATTTTAACAACATTAAAAACTCGAAACGGATAATAAAATATTTTAAACTTTGTTTATTAATCTAAATAAATATAACGACAAACCAATGTTTTAAAGGTCAAAAAGGATAGTAAAAATTTGTCGATCTTGTCAGAAAAGATAGATATAGTATTTAGCCAAACGAAAATAAAAAAAAATCTTTGTTTACATACTAAATTTTTATTGTCACTTCACAAGGCAACACTCAATAAACGGTGTTTTTTTAAATATTTGTATCATGCTTATTATTATTATTTTTTAATCATTTTATTGACATACATATTTGTGGTTGGAGCTTTATTGAATACCTACTGTCATAATATCTTGAATGTATATATTAAGTACCTCATTGGAAGAACTTTAATTAGGTTTGTAAATAAAGAYATATTTTAATATATTATATCATACATTCAATAAAGTTAAGTCCTATTAAAGTGACTTTTAAACATTTAATATRTTTTTGAAAAATTGATTAATAGGTACCAATATTTCCCCGCTAAAAACAAAATGTTGCTACAAATTTACATACTTACGGCATAGATATCTTATTAACTTATTAAAAACATGTTCTCATTGTTTATATTAAATTATGCTTAAATTTAACTTAAACCATTTTATTCCGTATCCATCAAAACAAAACGATTCTGCGTATATCACATTATTAAGACAGTTTTAG